TGAGGTTGCTGGGGTGCTGGGACAGGGGGCCCCGAGAAGCTGTGGCTGCCCCATCCCTGGCAAGGCCACGTTGGACACAGGGGCTTGGAGCAACCTGCTCTCATGGAAGGTGTCCCTGCCTGTGGCAGGGGGTTGGAGCTGTTTTGGACCTCTGCTGTGGAGAAGTTTGCCACTAAGTCCGAAGGAATCACACTGGAAAAAAGACTTTTGCAAAGTTTTTGTAGTGCTGACAACACTTTGATTTGCAGGCCTTGGAGTTTCAATGACATTTTGCAGTATTAAGAATAAGTAAGGAAGTAGCTTGCTGTGTTTCCACAGAACTTCACCCCTTCTGGCTTTCCCTGCTGAGCTCCAGAGCTCCGGTGTCTCTGTGGGTGTTGATTGAGGAGATGTACACCTAGTGCTGTTGCTGTTGTTTTTTTGCTTTGCCAAAGTGTTTTCTGAAAGTCGGGAAGTGTTGGAAACCCAGGCATGAGCCTGGGAGAGCGGCTGCGTTGGGGAGCCTGCAGTAGGGTGCTTGGCAGAGCTGTGCTTGAGGTCCCTGGGGAGGAAACCCCCTGCATTTGGGCTGCAGTGTGACACATGGGTGTTCCCGCTCCATTTCAGTGCTTCCTTGATGAGATTTGCTCCAAATTAACTCTGCTCAACAGCACACGTTTCTATCAGGCAGGATGACCCTGCTTAGCTGGGAAGTTGGGATCGGAGCTGCTGCTTGTTTCAGCCCCGACAGCAGAGCCTGAACCTGAGCTTGATGCTGTGCTGTGATGGCTGAGGCAAAACATGGGGAGCTTCCTCAAGCCTGAAATAGTGTTATCACCACTCTGAGATTGGTTGTTCTCATGAAGTCGTGTTTTACCTTGGTGAAGGCTTCAGGAGCTGGGAGCAAATACAAGAAAATGCACAGCCTCTGGTTTGACCTTATGGTGGTACCAGGAGGGGGAGAGGGAAGAGAAATACTGGGAAAAGCAACAGGGTGAAGTTAAGGTGAACATCAGATTTCTCTTTGTTCTGATAACAGTGTTGCTGAGAGTGGGTTTTGGTTCCCTAAGGGACAGCATGAGCCTTCCCTGGCCCTGGAGACTGTTCATCCTGCACTTAACTCAAGTTCTGGCAGAGCAGGAGGCACAAGGACTTACAGGATTGTTTCTCTGCCTATAAACTCCATCAGTAAAATTCCACGGAGCAGCAATTACACCAAGAAGTTTCAAGCTGCAGCATTTCTTCCTTGTCTTTCAGCCACGGAGCTGGATATGATGGAGTTGCTAAATGCACTGGCCTCTACAGAGGGCAAAGGGAGCAGAGCACTTAAGGTGTTCCTAATTCACCATAAGGTCCCTGCCTTCCCCCTGCAGCACCCTCCCTGCAGAGCTACACTGCCTTAAGTCCCCTTCCACCTTCCCAGCCTTCTCCTGAGTGCGTGGAAGGGAAAAGAAATGCTGGTGGTGAGACTCTGGTATCCTACGTCAGTTACATCAGTGGTGTAACCACATGGAGCATCCACTCCCACACCCTCCTCCCCAGTCCTGAGGGGTGCACCCAGCAAGGTGCAGCTGGGCAGGGAGAAAGGGGTGATGGGTGCCCGTCCCTTGTCCCTAGGCAGTTTCCATCATAGAATCCCAGCCTGGTTTGTGTTGGAGGGGACCTTAAAGCTCATCCAGTTCCAACCCCCTCCCATGGGCAGGGACACCTTCCACTAGAGCAGGTTGCTCCAAGCCCCTGTGTCCAACGTGGCCTTGAACACTGCCGGGGATGGGGCAGCCACAGCTTCTCTGGGCAACCAGTGTCTTACCACACTCATAGTGAAGAATTATCTGCCCACATTCTCAGAGCAGTGGTGGGAGTGGAACGTTCCCACAGTGGTGCCAGTGTGAGAACTGGGGGTTGAGTATCAAATCAGCTTTGAGTTTGTTTTGAAGGAAGGTTGTTGTCTTTTGTGCTTATCTCTCTATGAAAGTTCATCATCTTTTTGTGCAGTACTGCTATTGATGGGTCTTCTTTTCCTCTTTCCAGGACTCGATTGCAGCTTTATCGGACACAAAAGATGGGCTGGGGTGTGCGAACAATGCAGGACATTCCTCTGGGAACCTTTGTGTGCGAGTAAGTTCCTCAGCTTTCAGTAGCTCCCACAAGCCCATCGCTTCCTGAGGCCGGGGTGGTTTGCTGCTCTTTAAGGAGAGATTTTCACACCAAACATATTGGCATCAGGCCCTCAGCCAATTTGAATAGAGTTCCCTGACTCCATTTCCTGCTCTGTCCTTTTCCTCATAGTGTGGAGCTTTCTCCATTCCCCCTCTGACTTGCTCGGGTCTGTGCTGAGCTCTTACCCCTCTGAAACACAAGTGAAGAGGGGAAAATGCATTTGGGTTGTGCTGCACATGTGCTCAACTCACGTGTTCACTGTGGCCAGGGGGCACTTCAGGTCAAGGCAGTTGGGAACAACTTCTTTCTGTGGGATCTTTGTCTGCTTCAATACTGACTTCTCAAGAGGTTTTCCAGTGTCACAGCTCTGGCTTTGGTCTTATTCAATAAAACAATAAAGCACTTGGTGTTAAGCATGTGTCAGCCCTAATTCAGTAAAGTATTTAAGAACAAAAATGTTCAGATGTGTGTCAAGGGAACAAACTGCCATTGAGCCTTGCCGTTTTCAGGCTTTAAAGTGGTATATCTGCTCTATAGATGTTTTGGGAAGTGTTGTCTTCATTTCAATGCTACAGTGAGTTGACACCTTGTAAAGAAGGCTGGACTCGTGCCCTTCATGGAAATAGGTGCTGGGTTTTTTTAGAATTAGTTATTGATGTTTCATAGAATTGGGGCAGGGGATTGCAGAAGATTGTTGTAGAATTAAGACAATTCTGCATTGCATTGGCCAAATATTTCTTCCATGTTTGGAGCTGCCAGATAAGAATATGTTTTGTGCAGAGGTAAAGCTTAAAACTGCTGTTTGTGGGGAGTGTCCCAAGTCTGTCTTCAGGTAGGGCTTTCTGTTAAGTACCAAAGATCCCACTGCCCTGGTTTTCAGCATCCAGAGATGAGCCAGAGCCTGCAAGTAAACTGCTCCCAAAGCAAAAAGGCACCAACTTTACCAAATCCTACTGGAATGCTAAGTGCACAAGAGGTATTGGCAGTGGTGAACTGGCAGCCCTGGGAAACAAGGCAGCCCTGACAGTGTAATGGACACAGATGGGCACATTGTGGAGCACATCAGAGCTGATGGGGTACAGATACCATGACCATGCTTAACTCTTCCCTCCATCCTTGCCAGGAGCTGCTGACAGTATCATCTTCATCATTAGATAATAATAAGTTGCATACTAAAAAGCTGAGCTAATATGTGTCTTGCCCATGCATGTTCCTCCTTATCTCCATCACTCTCACACACACACGTTATTTACTCAACACACCAACATGCAGTTCTCCTCTCCTCCAGCTGCACTCATGTCCTTCCTGTGATTCTTCACGAGCAACCCTTAGATTTGGTTTCTTTTTTTCCTCATCTCTGGCAAAGAAACCCCTTTGCCAGGGGTGTTTGGGGGTCGCTTGCACACAGCAGCTGCTGGGATCAGCTCCTGTGAAAGAGCATTTTGCATTGAAAGTCTGGATTAAAGCCCTGAGCAGATAGTGGCTTCATACAGCAGTTCTTACTCTGCTTGGGTAGGATGATAATTGTACTGGTGTAAGGATGACTTTATTCCATGATTTTCACGTTTGCCTGCGTGGAGGGCAGGTCTGGAATAGTTCTCACAGCACTTTCATTTTGCAAAGCTCTGCTGGTCCTGACTGTTTCTGTGTAAATGCCTTTTTCACACACATACAACTTTTCAGCCTGGTCTGTGCTTCAGAAACCTTTCAGCTGTTCTCTATAATCACCCAACAGTGGTTTCCCTTTCTGTTTCTGCTTCTGGGCTGTCGCTCTGGCACCCTACAGCAGCTTCTTCAGGGAGCGTTTAGCAGCGTTCAGAGCTCAGAGCAGTTGGCGGCTGGGAGTGAAGCTCCAGTGCCAGTCAGCCCTGCCAGTGGCCCCAGGGCTCCCCAGCCCCAGCTAATCTGTGGAGTCAAGGAGTCCCAGACTGGTTTGTGTCGGAAGGGACCTTAAAGCTCCTCCAGCTCCAACCCCTGCCACAGACAGGGACACCTTCCACTAGAGCAGGTTGCTCCAAGCCCCTGTGTCCAACCTGGCCTTGAACACTGCCAGGGATGGGACAGCCACAGCTCCTCTGGGCACCCTGTGCCAGTGCCTCAGCACCCTCCCAGGGAAGAGCTTCTGCCTCAGAGCTCATCTCAATCTCCCCTCTGGCAGGTTGAAGCCATTCCCCTTGTCCTGTCCCTACATCCCTTGTCCAAAGCCCCTCTCCAGGTTTCCTGGCGCCCCTTTAGGCATTGGAGCTGCTCTAAGGTGTCCCCTTCAGGAGCCTTCTCTTCTCCAGCTGACCCAGCCCAGCTCTCTCAGCCTGGCTCCAGAGCAGAGCTGCTCCAGCCCTCGCAGCAGCTCCGGGGCCTCCTCTGGGCTTGCTCCAGCAGCTCCGTGTCCCTCTTGTGCTGTTCCCCAGAGCTGGATCAGGGCTGCAGGGGGGTCTCACCAGAGCCTTGTGCTTGGTCTTGTTGAACTTTATGAGGTCTGCATGGGCCCACCTCTCCAGCCTGTCAGCTCCAGACTCCCAACTGCTCTGGAGCCTCCTGCTAACAGTCTCTGGTACCTTCAGCACAGTCCTGGAAGCAGCAGCTCCTCCCTGCCCTGCTAGGCTCCCACAGTGTTCTTAGGCTCTTCCACTCGCAGATGCTCAGGAGTGTGCTCATGTGCAGGTTTCTCCCTGCCTTCCCAGTTTGTCAGTGCTCAGAGGTTGCTGTGGCTCTTCCTGTGGTGACGTTGCTGTGGGCTGTTTGGATCTGCTCTGTTCATGCTCAGTTGGGAGGTGATGGAACTGCCCTGGAGATGGCATAGCTTGGTTCAGGGCTTTTATCAGAGAAGCAGTGTATTAGTGGGGTGCAGAAAGCAGAGTCTTGTGAGGATCTAGTCTGTTCCTTTCTGTGGATGTCCGTTATGTGGTTTCATTTCTGTATGAAAGAGTGATGCTTTAGTAAGATACCAGCTGCATTTGAGCCAGGTGTTTTAGCCACCCCTTCAGCCTGAGAAGCCCCATGTGTCCCATTTTCCACACTGCATGGAAAACCCTGGAGCCTGTGCTGGGAACTTGTTGTTGCTCTTGATTTTTGCATGGAGTGACCTCTGGTCTGGAAGTGATGAGTGGCAAGGTAAAACTCTGAGATGTAGTTACTTGCCAGCACCATGCTGAATGTCATGCTGAGAAGAAAGACTTTGGCTTGACTTTGTGAGTTCTTAAATGAAGCGACTGATGCTCCTGCTCTTTTTTTGTGTAGGAACATGGGCTTCTTGCACATCCCTCCCTAACTTTCGATCTGGGAAATAAAGGAACTGTTTGTATTTGTAAGCAGTCCTGGAAAGGAAATGAGTTACAGGAATTGGCTTTAAAGGAACATCAGACCAACAGTTTTTATTTCGATTGTGGTTTTTAGTTTCACTGAGTTGTAAACCTGGAGTAGCTGTCCCTGAGCAGAGCACTCTCCATGCAGCATTATTCAGCTGTTTCTTAGCTGCTGCTGGCTACCGTGTCATGCTACAGCAATTATCTCTGGCCATCATCTTCCTATTGCTCTAGGTCACCTCTGAGCGTGTGATTTCCAGTAGTGCTTCATAAATAACAAGATGTAGTCAGGCAGAGAGGAGAATCACACACAGTGACAGCCTCCTGCTCTGACCAGATCCCTCAGATTTGGAAATTGCTGCCAGATGATCACTTGTCATGGAATAGGTCCTCTCCAGGTTGATGTTTTGTGGCTTTCCTCTGTCCCAGCCCTGGAGTTAAATGCTGCCTCGAGCCAGAGGGGGAAATGGATACAGTTGGTTAACACTTGGAAATGCCTTGGGAGCTGCAGAGGAATGCTGGGATAATGGCTGCTGATCATGGGATCTCTGTTGATGCTGCAAAATATTCATTTATTCATTTATTCATATTGTGAATCCTTTGCTTATAATTAATTAGCATTGCAGTGCAGGCCAGGAAGAATTAGGTACTACTGTGCTGTTGCTCCTTTCTCATATCCTCCCTCTGGCTCAGTACCTCTTCTTTGTGTCTCTTCGATTGCAGGCAGGTCAGGGCAGGAAATGTTGAACCTTGACAGTCCAAAACTGTTTAACCTGGAGACAGGGAGACAAATGTGGGAACACCAATACAGTGGGGACTCCTGCACCAAGAGGGTTTGCAGCAAAACCAGCATCTGTCTGGGGGGTGGACGGTTGTGGGTGTATTTGGTCCTTCTCAGCAAGCCAGGCCATGCAGCACGTGCATCGTGGTGCTCAGACGATCTGGTTGTGATCTTCCTTGCACGTGGTTTTACAATAAGGTGGTTGTTACTGGATCACAGTTCTGATTTATTCCGGTTCAAGAGGGATAGAGGAAGAAGCTGGGATCCTTCCAGGGATCCTGCCAGGTTAGGTTAGACCTAAGGCTTCAAAACCAAACCTTTATAAGGTAGGTAGCCTATGTAATCAGTTAAAACACCCTGGAAAAATACAGGAGGAACAGACACAACCATTTTGCTTTGGGATGTAAACAGCACAAGCACTGCAGTGGCGTACAGGAGAGCCAGGACATGAGTCTGAACAGAAGGAGAATTGGATTAATGTGTTGATCTTGGCCAACAAAGAGATTTGCAGAAGGAAAGACAGTCCTCAGAGAAGAAGTAAATTTTATTGGAAGTAAGACTCCAGTTTTAATATTGAAAGTGTTGTCCTGAAAAGATGGACTTCGGAGCCAGATTTTAGCTGCTGTAAGTTGGCAAAGCGCAGTTTGCCTGGGTGGGTCTGACATGACCTGTGCTGTAAGGCTGGGGGTTGCCACATGTGGCTGGGCTGTATCCCTTTCTTTCAGTCTTCTCAGAAAGAGAAGTTTAAACCCAAACCTGTGATTGCATGAGCATCTTATCTCTGCCTTCCCTGTTTGTCTGCAGGTACGTTGGTGAGCTGATATCCGATTCGGAGGCAGACGTCCGTGAAGAGGACTCCTACCTCTTTGACCTTGACAACAAGGTACTGTATCTGAAGGCGTCTAATGAGACAAACCCAAGGTCTTGCCTCTCCAGAAGAGCAAAAAGAGAGTATTTGTATCCATCTTGACATGCAGCAAAGATGAGAACCACAAAATATAGAGGGGTAAGGCTTAAGGCTTGTTAAAGCAGTGCTGGGCTGCCATGGTATGTGCTGCCCACACCAGTTTTGATGCAAGATGCTCTTCTGTCAAAACTGTTCAGGTGTCCTCGGTTGAGTTGTTCAGGTTTTGATACTCAGTGTGTATATGCAGGCTTGCAGCCATGTTGATTGGCAGCTCTGTGAGTTCTTTGTAAAAAGATGAGTTGGATGATTGAAAAAGCAAGCCTGGTTCACTTAAAAGGGATCCATCAGGTACCCTGGCAGGGGCTGGAGGCTTGTTCTGCTAGTAGTTACCCTATGCTGCTCTGTGGAGAGCTGTCTTGGAGCAGAAACCCTGCTTTGAAGAATGCCATCTAAAGCTTTTAAGCAAAGCCATCACTTCAGACTTTCCTTGTGAAAGGAGGAGGAGAGAGGTGAGCTGGGGACTCAGAGGAGTGGGGTGGCTTCCAAGATGTCTTGTTTCTGTCATCAGCTAGTGACAAAGAAGCTTTGCTTTATTTTTTTGCCTTTCTTTTTCTTTTTAAAGCAACACACATTGAACAACTGAAAGAAGACAAGTGATGAGTGTTGTAGTCAGTCTGAAAACAGTGGGGTCAAACTGTGATTATGAAGTTGAAAAGCAGCAGGGACTTCAGCCTGGTTTGTGCATTTAGAGCAAGAGCCCACCTGGGCCTTGCCTGGCCTTTAGTTCAGCCCCTGGCTGGCTGCCTTGATGGAGAACCTCTGTCTTTGCTCTTAAGAAGCCTTCAGTAAAGCAAAGAGGAAGACCCAAGGCATAAGCACTGTCTTTTTTCAGGGTGTCTGAGCCCTGAGGAACACCACTTGTGACCAGTTGCCAACTGGATTTAAATCCATTCATCCCCACTCTTTGGGCCCCACCATCCAGGCAGGTTTTTACCCAGTGAACAGTGCACCCATCCAGGAGTTTCTCCAGGAGACTGCTGTTGCAAACCGTGTCAAAGGCTTCACTAGAGTCAGGTGGACAATATCCACAGCTTTTCCCTCATCCACTAAGTTGGTCACCTTTTCCTAGAAGAAGATCAGGTCAGTCAAGCAGGACCTGCCTTTCATAAACTCATGCTGTCTGGGCTTGGTCACCTGGTCATCCTGTATGTGCAGCATGATGGCACTCAGGATGATCTGCTCCATAACCTTCCTCAGCACTGAGGTCAGACAGACAGACCTGTAGTTCCCTGGATCCTCCTTCCGGCCCTTCCTGTATATAGGCATCACATTTGGTAACCTCCAGTCAACCAGGACCTCCCCAGTGAGCCAGGACTGCTGAGAAATGATGGAAACGCCTTGGTGAGCACTTCCACCAGCTCCTTCAGCACCCTTGAGTGGATCCCATCCATTCCCATAGACCTGTGTGTGTCTAAGTGGCATAACAAGTCCTTGACCATTTCCCATTGGATTATGGGGGCTTCATTCTGCTCTCTGTCTCTATCTTCCAGCTCAGGGTGCTGGGTACCCAAGAACAACTGGTCTTGCTATTAAGGACTGAGGCAGAGAAGACATTAAGTACCTCAGCCTTTATCTTGTCCTTTATCACCATGTTGTCCTCACATGCAATAAAGAATGGAGATTCTCCTTAGCCCTCCTTTTGTTGCTAATGTATTCATAGAAACATTTTTAGTTGTCTTTCACAGCAGTAGCCAGATTAAGTTCTAGTTGGGCTTTGACCCTTCTGATTTTCTCCCCATACCCTCATGGCAAGGTGGGAAACACTTTGCTCTGGGACTTGTCCTCCTCAGCAGCTTCACAGTGAGGACTCCGCATGGGTCAGTCAAGGCAGCAGAATCCTTTCTTAAGAAGCACATCTTGACTTGCATGGTGGAGAGCCCAGATCTTTCCAGATGGGCACTAGATGTGGTAGTAGGTGATGTTGCCATCACCAGCCGTGGCATTTCCATGGAGGAAAGCGAGGGGATGATGGGAATTACTGGTAATTGCAATACAAAATAACAGTGTTTGTGTTACGGGACCATGTGGGGCGATGCCTCCCCAGCTATTGGGACACCTTCCCTGGGCTCCTGCCCCAGTGGGGTGGTGTGATCTGGCACCACTTGTCCTAATGGATGATGGTGAGGTGCTTGCCCGAAAGGGAGCTTGAGCACTGCTAATGGAGCCTTTTGCTTTTGGCCTCTTTGCAACTGAAATTAGCTCCTGTAATTAAAGCCTCTGCCTTGCACAGTCATTCTCTGCTGCAATAAAAAAGCCCTGAGGGAGGTTCTTTTCTTTTCAAGGAAAACAAAATATTACTGCTCTTTGGAAAGGGAATTTCTGTGTTCTCACTTGCACTTTTATCTACAAAAACCTGTGTTTTCTTGAGGCTCTGGCTTTGTGTTTCCTTGCTGTCATGTTCAATTAGAGGATGGAACAGATGCTGTTCCCCTATCCAGCAGCTTGTACCCGTAAGGTGTTTGTCTGCACCAGACATCAATCCCACCATGCCAAGCTGGTGCTTTACCTGGGCAGGGTGGGGAGAGCCAATGGGCCAGACAGTGACAGGCGTTTCCAGAGGTCTTTGGGCTGGTGGGGGGCAGAAGGCTGTGTAGAAAACTGGGCGTTCAGGGTAGTGGGTCTAAAAGTGTGTGTTTAGTCCTGTTAAACCTGCAGTGGGCATCCTGCCTTGGTTGTTCTTCTTGAAGCTCTGCAAAGTATTGGTGGAATGACCAGTAGTTTGGTCAGTTGTTGTTTTTAACAAGTAGCAGTAATCACAGAATCATAGACATAGAATGGTTTGTGTTGGAAGGGACCTTAAAGCTCCTCCAGTCCCAACCCCTGCCACAGGCAGGGACACCTTCCACCAAACCAGGCTGGCCCAAAACC